CCCAAAAAAAAGATTAAAAAATAATTCCAATTTCAAATTTTTATTTTCACCCCACCTACCCTCCCCCCTCCCCCCTCCCGCAGCCCCCCAACTCAACCCCTCCACCCATTGCCTCTATAGAAAAAAAAAGAAATTTAAAGTTTTTTTAAAAAAAATTATTTCCAATTTAACTTTTTGTTTTTTGTGACCCCCATCAGCCCCCACCCTCTTTTCAAAAATATTTTTAATTAAAATTTTTATTTTTTTACCCCATCTCACCCCCTCCCTCCATCCCCCATCCTTCAAAAAAATTAAGTTTATTTTCAAAAAAGTATTTTCAATTCAATCAAAAAATTATTTTTTATTCTCTAGTAAAATTAAAAGATATTTTCTCAAAAAAACTTTTCATTCATAAATCGAATATTAAATTTTTTTTCTTAATAATATACTCACCAACTAAACATGAGAAGATAAGTAAAAAATCTACTTGATTTCCAGGAAAACATTTTCTAAGAAAATATTTTTAATGGAAAAACATTTTTCTTCATACCAAACACACCAACATTTTTAATTATCTTGATAAGTAATTTTATGAATTTATCAACAAATATGATGTAACACAAATAATTTAATGTAGGGAAAAAGGTAAAAAATGTCCTAAAACTATGTGAAGGAACAAAAATGTCATCCGTTTATAGTTAGACTCAAAAATGTCTATACCGTCAATACTTTGGTTCAAAAATGCCATTATAGTCAATACTTTGGTCCAGAAATGCCCATACAATTATAAAATAGGTCAAAATTGCCCTGTTTCGAATAAATATATTATTTTTTCTTTTGAACACATCTTCTTAATTAAAATATTATTAAAAAACACTATTCTTGTTTTATTTCTTCCAAAACCACTTTAATAAATAGAAATGTAGATTTTTTTTCTTCTTAATCTTATTTTATGAATTAAAATAGAATAACTTCATGTACCCTTTCAACATATAATATATGTCATATATATAAGATGATATAGTAGATCTATCATTAATTTATATTGATATAACGAGAAAAAAATGATAATAAAAGTTGAAATATTTTCATTTTTATTTTTTTTCTGAATTGAAGTAAGATAAACATTTGCTAACTTTTTTAAAAAACATTATTAGAAAAAAATGTGTTAAAAAGTCCCAAAATAATAGTAATATATTTATTTGGGAAATGAACATTTTGACCTATAAAATTACAATAAGGGCATTTTTGAACCAAAGTATTGACGGCAAACACATTTTACTATCCCACTACAAACATAGGATATTTTTGGTTCCTTATGCATAGTTTAAGGATATTTTTGAACCAAAGTATTAACGATAAGAATATTTTTTAGCCAAACTATAAACAGAGGATATTTTTGTTCCCTTCACATAGTTTAAGAGCATTTTTAACCCTTCATTCTTTGTAATGTACATATGCATAATTAACAAGCAGCAGATTTGTAGGAATACCTCTTTATTTTCTCTCCTAAGTTTGCACCTAAGTACTGTATTTATATTTTATTTACCCCTTGGAATAGGACATTGACATCCATTTGATTACATTTATATATATTTTGCTTTTATGGAGAATGGTTTAGGGATTTGACTATCTTGTTTTATGAATTTAGGGTTATTAAGTTGTGTACATTGATCCTAAGTGTGAATGCTAGTTAGATATGAGTTATTTTAAATGATTGCTTCGAATTATATGTTTTTATTCATGTAGTATGTTGAAATCAGTTCTCAAGGCCTAAGAAATATTGGGAACTGCAGTATTCTTCACCAAGATATTTATCGCCTTGTCATATAAATAGATAGTGAGATGTCCCCTAGCTCCTTAGAAATCCTTGAGCTAGACAAGTAAGAAGTTTTAATCTGGCCTAAAAATGTTCTTTTGGAAAAGTACCTTGAATTTTTCCTATTATTGAATAAAGAATTGGTTTTTACTTTGTAAGAATGTCTTGTTGATCTTCATTTCATTGGCATTGAGAAACTTTTCTAGTAGAAAGCTTCTTTTCAATTTAAAAGGTTTTAAATAGACAACTTAAAAGTAGAAAATCTGTAAAATAAAAATTCAAGATCCTTAATTATCTCAATTGAACCTATCTAAGTAACTTTAATTTCAATTCAAAACTGATTGTTCTAGTAAACCAGTTTTAACAAAAATAATTTTAAACAAAAAAGGACTATTTTGGACACTTTTTGCCTCTTCTCCTTGAGAAGTTGTTTATGAACACTACAACAAGAATGATCATTAGCGCATTTAATTCTTAATTGCCATTAACTATGTAATTTTTAGCGGTAATTGTCACTCTTTGTTTTTGTCCCTAAAGCTTTTAACGAATTGGTTCTAATGACACTTAACTAATGCCGGTAAAGACTTTAGCACTCTTTATTAGTGTCTATATTTAATGCCGCTAAAAGTTGTTTTTGTTGTAGTGGAAAGAGAATGTAAATGTACCTTCAATGTGTTTTGCTAAAGAATGCAAGGTTAGCATCCGACACATTTTCTTATTTTCTTAAGCGCCCTTTCTATTTCTTCAAACAATGGGGGCTATTTTGTCTTTTAACCAAGAAAATCATAATAATAACATACCCAATGTAATTCACAAGTGGGGTCTGGGAAAAGTGATATGCAGACAATCTCATCCATACCTTATAAAGATAGAGAGATTTTTGAAAGATCCTCTGGACTCTAGTAATGATAAGGTTAAATCGTCGTAGTTAATATTAATAATGCACTTAGCGGCGTTTAAGCAAGGCATGAGAAATAAGATCTAAGAATGGTTAAGCCATTCAATGTTGTCAATCTAAGGATTAATATTGAAATGGATAATGTGCTAAATGATACTGTGTGTATTTCAGATGGAATTTATCAAAGGCGTGTCTATTTTTATGGAATAATTTAATTATAGCTCTAAAGCGTATTAGGAAACACAATATTATGTGAGTTATAATGCATGCACTATGAAATTAATTTTGCATACATTGTCAGTATTACTTGAAGAAAAACTTGAAAGTAACAATTGAAGTGATAAATATGTTGTCAGAAAATGGAAGTAATTAGTTCAACAACTTCAATTAAGTCAGTTAAGGTTAAAAGGCAACAACAAACATGACCAATTAGAGGTTTATAATCGTCTTATAATGTTCTATAAAATTGAAATTGTCGAGATTTTCTTCTTGAATTACTTTAGGAGAAAGTATGTGTAAACGAAAAATAAAGCTAATTATTTGATATGTTTTCTTTCGTACTGTAGAATCAACATTATTTAAAAGAAATACATTATTTTGGGGAAGAGTCGCAACCCAAGTGGATGGTTTGATGTAGGCAACATACCCCAATGCAAGCAGTAATGGCTGCTTCCATGGTTCAAAACCATTGCTTTGAGGCTCCCCTTCTGAATTAGCATTATATTATATATGTAAATAAAAAGAATGTTGTTATTTTTCATTTGTTTTAGATTCATTTTAGCATTATAACTTACAATTGGTGAAATAAACAAGAAGTTAATTTTTCTTGGAATTCTGAGTAACCTCATAATAAATTCTCGATAATCTCATAATAAATTCTGGGTAACCTCGTAAGAAATTCTTGGTATCCCCATGTAATGATTTAACCAGGCAAACATTGCATTTGATTCTTTTAGATCTAGAATCATGGCTTCTAATGAAAATTATGAATTTTGAAGTAGTAGCAATTTTAGAATTTCGTTGTTGGAGAAACGAGAAGTGGGAGTGATGGAAACACTAGATCGAGTTAGTAAATTGCCAGACTCACTTCTTGTTCAAATTCTCTCCCTTTTGCCAACACAGGAGGCATTCACAACCTTTATTCTCTCAAAGACGTGGCGCTATGTTTGGTCTTATGTTGATAACTTCAATTTCTCTCATAAAAATTATCTGAAAACAAAAGAATTTGTACCCTTTGTAGACTATGTATTAGCTTGATTAGAGATTGACTGCAGTTACCTGCATCCATATAAATCACATGTTAGCAGATGGCTTAGTATTGCTGTTGAAAAAAACGTGGAAGATTTTGTATACCGGTCAAGTTCCAATAGTAATGGTTGCACATTGCCTGAATCTTTCTACTACTGCTCGTCGTTGGTAACATTACATTTGACATTTTATTGCTTTGATTATGGAGCGGACATTAAATGGAAGTCTCTGAAGAGTATAAACTTGGAGTATGTGGTTTTACCGATGAAGACATTGTGAAGTTATTGTCTGGTTGTCCCGCTTTAGAGACTATGGAAGTTGATATAGTTGGGGGCTTTAGTCGCTTGAAAATTAGTTCCTTAAAAATGAAGAGACAAAATTTGAGAGGCTTGTTGTATTTTAGTATTGGGAATGATCACTTCTTGGAAAATGATGCTCCATATCTTCATAATTTGGAGATTTAAGGATTTCATCACAAATGTAGGCTGGTAGACGTGTCCTCTTTGGTGAATGCAAAGCTTACGTTCTGCACTAGATGTACATGCTCTTCTTGAAGAAGATGTCAATGATGAGGAAGATAGTTGTATGGATTCCCATCAAGTTTTTGGGACCGATTATCTACATAAGTTGAGTTGTGCAAGTGAGCTTACAACAGGAACTTGGCTTATAGAGGTTTGTTCTAACATAAAAGGGATGAAAAATGCAGTACATATGAGACTCTTTATATTACATAATAGTAATGTTAAAATGCCACATAATCTAACAGATGGTTCTATTTTTTGGATAAATATATAAGCAGAGTGGTGTAAAAATATGTTTTATGGTTTGATTTTTCACTACACTGCCTCTCTTCGGCGGAGTAATTTATTTTTGTTGATGTTGCTTTCTCCATTCCTTACTAGTTACATTGGGAAGACTGCTGCAGGTAATGTGCATGTTGCAACTCGAAAGGAGCACAGATTCCCGAAATGAAATGCAAATATCTAATGTTAGAAGAGTTGGATCTGGATAAGCTTAATTTGTTTGGGGTACCTGGCCTTTTGCGAGCCTTGGCGCATGTAGAGACACTCAACATAAACTTTACTACAGTTGAGGTAACTTCCACTCTTCTTTTGGCATCTGTTCTTTTTATGAAGTTTTAACAACTTTACCTGGAGAAAAGGCCTGAAATAGTCCCATACATCTGTGAGTGTACTTAACATGGTCCCTTATTTGTATAAGTTAGAGCACAAATAGTCCTTTGAATTACAAGAATGGAGCACTTCCAGTGTTCTCTATAATGGTAGTTGGTCACATGTGTGTCACGAAGATATCAGTTGTCTGTGTCACGAAGATATCCGTTGTCTGTGTCACGAAGATATCCGTTGTCCTTGTAGAGCTCCCCTTCTATTCCCTGCTTCTCTTTTCATTTTATCTTGATCAACTAGTAAGGACTAATACTAAGCAATGAGTTGATATTGAATAAATAGTTTTTTTTTTACTTAGTAAGAATTTCATCAAACATCATTCGTGATTATGAAGACTGAATGTTTCTTTATTAATGAAGGCAACGAGTTCTTAAATGGAGTTACAACGAAAGTAATAAGACTCCTAAACGAACTGAACTAAAGTAATCTAATTAAATAATAACTGCTGAACTAGTAAGACAATCCTAATACGACTAAACTACTAACTAGCGTCCGGAGACCAGATGTTCTAATATGCCCCCTCAAGTTAGACGATAAGTCACTAAGCCTAACTTGAACAAATTATACTCAAAAGCAGATTTAGAAAGTGCCTTGGTGAGGGTGTCTGCTATTTGATCGGCACCATGGACATGAACAACACAAACCCTTTTAATATCAACATAGTGGCGAACAAAGTGAAAGTCCACAGCAGCATGCTTAACACGACTATGGAGGACAGGATTCTTGCTCAAAAATGTGGCTCCAAGATTGTCACAATAAATTGTGGGTAGCTGATGTACTGGAAAGCGCAACTCATTGAGGAGATTGGTGACCCATAAGGTTTCAGAAAGTGCATTAGCCACTGCCCTGTATTCGGACTCAGGGGAGGAGTGTGAGACAGTATTTTGCTTCTTTGATGACCAACTAATCGGATTATGACCAAGAAATAGGATGTAACCAGATGTAGAAACTCTGTCAACGATGTCCCCACCCCAATCTACATCAGAATACACATGTAGATTGAATTCATCAATGGGAGTAACGCGTAGGCCGAGTTGAATGGTACCCCGCAGGTATCGAAGAACACGTTTTACAGCCTTCTAGTGAAGGTCTGACGGTGCTTGCATAAATTGAGAAAGCTTGTTGACTGCATAGGCTATGTCAGGTCTAGTGAAGGATAGATATTGAAGCTGCGTATCACTTTAACACCAAGAAAGTAGTGAAGATTACCTAAATCTTAAATAGAGAACTTAGAAGCAAGGGAAGTGATAACCTGATTGACACTTAAAGTATTGCTCCCAGTGATAATAATATCGTCAACATAGACGAGGACGAATAACGTATCACCTGCACCATATCTGACAATTAGTGAGGCATCAGATTTTGTCTTAACAAATTCTATGGATAAAAGATAACCCGTGAGGGCATTGTACCACGCCCGAGGAGCCTGTTTCAAGCCATAGATTGCCTTCCGTAGCCGACATATATGCATTGGTTTGTCATCACTAGTAAACCTTGGAGGTTGTGCCATGTACACTTCCTCTTCCAGGTTGCCTTGGAGGAAGGCATTATTGACATCTAGCTGGCGAAGGTGCCAGTTGTGACGAAGTGCCACAGAGAGGACGATACAAACTGTGGTGGGCTTGACGACTGGGCTGAATATGGCATGCAAGTCATCGCCTGGCCTCTGAGTAAAGCCTTTTGCAACTAGGCGCGCTTTGTATCTGTCGATGGACCCATCAGCATTTCTCTTGATCCTGAAAAGCCACTTGCAGGATACAATGTTTTTGGTTGGGTCTGGAGGAACAAGTTCCCAAGTCTGATTTTTAATTAAAGCATCAAATTCATGTTTCATTGCATAACGCCACTCTGGATATTTTTGTGCTTGTTTGACAGTAGTGGGTGTGACAGTGGGGTTCAATTTGGCTAGGTAATCAAAATTCTTTTTTTGGTTTTGTGATATTATTTTGGGATCGAGTGACAGCAAGGGTAGGAGGAGACGGACAGTGAGGCGGTGAAGGAGCGAGTTCTAACTCGAAGGTAGGACAGGCTAGTTGAGGAGCCATATGTGTTGGTGGGTTGGTGTTTCTACGGTGATAAACAAGGAGAGGAGACAAGCTTCTTTGTGTGTTGGTTGGTATCGGCGTTTGAGAGTTTGTAGGGAGGCGTGGTAGTGCTAAACGCTGGGCAGTAGATATAGAAGAGGTGTTCTGGGAAGCAGGAGTTATTGAAGATGAGGAAGACAAAAATTTACCTTGAGAGGGAGGAGTTGCTAGAGGTGAATTTGTTGCGTCTGCTGCTGATGCATCGCCGGATAAGGACTGTGAGTTTGAGTTGTCTCCGGACTGGGCTGGAGAGGAAGCAGATGGTGATGGAAAATCTGTAATAGTGTGTGCTGCTATTTCTGATGGAGTTGGCAGATTTGTAACTATGGGAAGTTTGGGTGTGGGGTCTGAAGAACTTGGCATTGTTGGTGTTGCCCATTCCAGGTGAGTTGATTTAATGGCAATGTTGGAGAACAATGTCTTTAATGGAAAAACATCCTCAACAAATCGCACATCTCGAGATAAGTAAACCTTTGCAGAAATTGGGTCAAAACACTGGTGACAGTGATGGGATAGTGAGAATCCAAGATAGACACATGGGGTAGATTTTGATTCAAGTTTATTTTTGGAGTATGGTTTTAGTCATGGAAAACATAAACAACCAAAAATTCGTAGGGAGTTATAATTAGGTGATTTTCTAAGTAATCTTTGGAATGGGGACTGATTATCGAGGTGAGAGGTTGGAAGACGATTGATGAGGTAGACAGTATGATGGCATGCAAAAGACCAGAATTGGGGTGGGAGAGACACCTCATGTAAGAGTGTTGTTGCAGTTTCGACAATATGGCGATGTCGCCGTTCTGCAAATGCAACTCGTTGGGGTGTATAGGGAGGGGTAGAGAGGTGTTGAATGTCGTGAAGTGAAAGATACGAGTCCAGACTTTTATACTCACCTCCGCCATCAGTATACGATGATAAAATTTTAGTGTCAAAATGTTTTTCCATCATAGGATGAAATTTTTGAAAGATATCTTTAACTTCACTTTTCTTTGTTAGTTTGTAGAGCCAAGTGTACTTCGTATATTGGTCAACAAAAATACAATAAAACAAATTTTTATCAATAGATAAGACTGGTGATGGCCCCCATAAGTCACTGAAAATAATTTGAAGTGGTTTAGAGCTACACAATGATAATTGAGTAAAAGGATGTCGATGAGCTTTATTAGATAAACATGAATTACAATGAAATTTTTTGTCTCTCTCATGAAACGGTAGCGAGAATTTATTCAAAATAAACCTAAGAAGTCTAGAGTGAGGATGACCAAGACGTTGGTGCCAAGTAGTGAGAGGGCTGGATGTGGAGATAATGTGAGCTTGGGGATGTGAGACAGGCCACTCATATAGTCCATTGTTAGTCCGAACGTGCACCAGTGGCTGCCGTGTTTTCAGATCCTTCACAACAAAGTTAAAAGGAAAACATTCAATAGACTTAAGATTGTCTTGACAGAATTTAGAAACATCGATAAGCTTGCGTTTGATGGAAGGGGCACACAAAGTATGAGTTAGCTCAAAAACATTATTTGATGAATTTAATTTAGTAGAACCAGTGTGAGAGATAGGAATTTTGTTACCATCACCCATGGAGACATCTTCGTTACCGCGGTATGGTTGTAGGTTGTGCGGCTCTGTTGTGATGTGATGGGTGGCTCCTCAGTAAACTATCCAGGGATTGGTCTCCGTTGTAAGCCCAGCGGCATAGTTGGCTTTTGCTTCAAAGTGATTATGAGTTCTCGAGCGGCAAACATTGGCGGTGTGGCCAATTCTGTTACATAGTTGACAGCGAATACTACCGTTTGGATTTGAATTGGATTGCCCTTGTGGTGGAGCACTTGGACGCAAATTCTGGCCCCATTGTTGAGAGTTGTTGGTTTGTCTACGGTTGTTGCGATTATTGGAGTTGAATTTAGTGGGAGTAGCAATTGCAACATTGATGGTACTAGATAGTTTCTTAGCATCCTCGTGGCGGAGGAAGAGTTCAAAGTTAGTAAATTTTCAAACAGTTCCTCATAAGAGATAGGCGTATCGCGTGCACGAATGGCAGCAGATATTTCAAAAAATTCAGGACCTAGACCACTAAGTATTTTGACAATGAGTTCAGGATTGGAAACAGGAGCACCAGCAGTGGCTAACTCATCCGAAAAGGACCGAATAGTATGAATATATTCAGTAATGGAGCGAGAGTCCTTAGTGACACGGGCAAGCTGATCAGCAGATTTAACACTCGGGTTTGAGATATGTTCGCATAAGTGGTATGCAAGGCATCCCAAGCTGATTTAGCCAAGTCACCGGCTGCAACAGTAGGGGCAGTAGTGGGTTCGACAGAAGCCATGAGAGCATTCTGGATGAGTTGATCCTGACGGAAGAAGGCAGGATTAGGAGAGATATTTGTGCCGAGGGTAATCGTGCTACTAGGGGATGGACTGGTTCCATCGAGATGGCCAAAGAGGTTGTAGCCATACATAAGCATGAAAAATTGGGCTTTCCAGGTGGCGAAGTTGTGACCACCACTTAGTTTGATGGGTAATTGGGATGCGGGATTGAATTGAATGATAATATTGGTGCTTGTCGTGTTATCAGCATTGACAACTCTGGGATTGTTGCCATTGTTGTTGGTCATTGTTGCTGATCTGCGTGAGGAGAAAAAAAAAGAAAAAACTGGATCGTACTCTTTAGAGCGGGAAGAGCCCTGATACCATATGAAGACTGAATGTTTCTTTATTAATGAAGGCAGCAAGTTCTTAAATAGAGTTACAAAGAAAGTAATAAGACTCCTAAACAAACTGAACTAAAGTAATCTAATTAAATAATAACTACTGAACTAGTAAGACATTCTTAATACGACTAAACTACTAACTGGCGTCCTAAGACCAGATGTTCTAATAGTGATGGACCTAAAGATTGCTTTAAAAGTCTTGTTGATCTTGATCCCATGGACACTGATAAATTCTTCAAGCCATGGCACCCTAACTATTGTTTATATTTCTTAAATGTGCTTACTATTTCTTCAAACAATGGGGGCAAATAATTCTTCTCCACTGTTCTGTGGGAACCCATTTTCCTCCCTAAAGTTAGCCAGCCCCAAAAATATAAAGTTGCCTTGAGGATAATGATT